GCGAGTGGCACGCTGATGCCTGGCCGGGGACCCCCCAACCCAGAGAGGAGCTGGTGCTGTCAGCCAGCAGTGATGTTACTGGCTGCTCCTTGTGGCAGGGTCTGGGGCTCCCGAGCTGCCAGTGGATGTAGCAGCCAGGGAGGAGGACAGGGCAGGGTGCTGAAGGCCCAAGGCCCCTCCTCTAGTCACATTTCACCAAAGGGCTCAGGGCAGGGTGGGGGTTCAGGCAGGTTGCCCCTGCTGTTGACAGCGGCAGGGGTGCAGCCTGCATCCTGGGATACCAAAATAGGAACAACTTCTCTAGAGTAGTTCAGGTTGTCACTCTTTTATTTTTTTAACATGCTAAAAAACTAAAATCTAGCCTAAGCTACACCTTCCTAATAGCTTCACTAAACAACAACTACAGTTAGAAATTAGATAGTTTAGGGAAGCACATGTTGCAGGGGGTCCTCCTTGCTGCCATGGGTGGTAAAAAGAAACTAGGGGTCAGCTGGGCTTGTTTCATCCTTTCGGCCTTCTGGCAGGAGTACACAGAGACATCCAGAGTGCAAGCGAAGCCCTGGTGCCAGTCAAAAATATCTGATGTCACAGGGATCAGGTATGCATGCACCAGAAGTGGCCAGCCAGTCAAAGAGCTCTTAACTCTTTGTTTTTTTCTTTCAAAGACTACGCGCTTTTGAAGTTTAACCAACAGGCAGTAGCCATGCTATCAACCATTGCTGTGAACCATGGTGGTTTGCAACCCCTTCCAAATAGCACCTTGCCCCAAGGTGGATCATCTCCCCAGGGCGAAGCCTGGGACACCATCCAAGCCATGAGACGCAACAGAGCTTTCCTAAATCTGTTTCGGATGAACAAGTTAGTGCTTGCTCTTTCTTCTTTTAATGTGTTAAACCCGTTATTTCTGTTCCTTTCCTGTTTGCTGATTGGAAAAGAAACCTCAGATCGAAAACAATACTTGGAAGGGAACTGCGTGTTCCCCAGAACAACAGGAATGAAATATGCTGCTCTCTGGCAGTTAGAAAGAGTCACCATTAGGATATTGAAGTGCAGTGCTCTTCTCTAAAGGGGCAGCGGGCGGCGAACACCGTGCACTGTCTCTTTCTTCCCTGCTGTCTCGCAGGGAGCCCATATGAAAAACAAGACCCCGGGCGGGTCCCGTGCAGCGCTCCGGGGCCGCCCCGCCTTGCCCCGCTCTCGCGGGCGGGCAGAGCAGCGTCCGGCCCGGGGCGAGAGGCGAGCGCTTGCCCGGTTGAAGCCAAGGGGCAGAGGGGCAGCCCCGGGCGGGGCGGGGCGGGGGGGG